CATCTTGTGGACAAGGTAGAAACAGTTATGGAAAAAATGCCTGCTAGTCACCATGAAGGTCAGTACCCGACAGGAGGTTCTGTCTGCCTGCGTCGCTGGTGGCGGAGCCAGAGCCCTGATCAGAGGCGTTCTGGTGGCCGCTGCTATAAGTCACAGTAAAAGGCCTGAGGGGGAAAGATATTTAGCACATGAACTTGTAGATCAGAATCTCAAACGGCTCAAGTTCATCTCTCATTGCAATACCTGCAGGGCAAGGCTGCGTGGGGAGGTTTATATGGGACCAGACCTTTGTGTCCGGGTACAGGACAGAGGCCCAGGGAAACAAACCCTTCCCTTTGGGAAGAGTGCTGAGGAAGTTCATGTCCCTCCTAACAAAGCCATGGAACAGCAGGCGTGAACGTATCGCTAACGAAGTTACCAAGTTTTCTGCCATTTGGGCTAACGCAAACCCGTTAGTGGGTAGAAATATTGCATCTGAGCCATTCCAGTCCAGGAGCAAAGGTGTGTACAGGTTGTAGCAGCTCACCCGCCGCTGCTGTGGGACTCTGCCCGAGACGCAAAGACCCCGTTGCAACTGGAGAGCTCTACACTGGTAGGCAGGGAGCAGGTTCGATGCTACAAGTATGTTTGTAATCTTTACACAGTCTTTGTTGTGTAAAGTGTTTACCCCCTGGCCTTTGGGTAATTACGGCATATATTAGCCTGCCAGAACCTAAGAACTGTAAATTGTGTAATGAAGGAGTGGTTGATGGGGAATGGGCAACCTGAGCTTTTGATGTGGTGTGTGAGAAGGCACAACATGCCTTCGAAGGCAGAACAACCAGTTTGAGTAGGAAAGGGGAAAAGACCGTGCTTAGTTAGCCAGAGTTGTACTAAATCTTACAGAACTGCTAGAAAACAGGTATATAAGCAAAGTAAAAAAATGGATAACTCAGAACAGCAAACAAATCTTGGAAACTTTTCTCCCTTTGGAAGTGGAACAAACAGCTGAACTCACCAGAAACAGACAGTCCCAGTGTACTTTCTGTACTGGTTTTGTCCTAATTTTCTTCAGTACAAGCGCTCTTGGAGCAGATAACCCCAGCTAATTAGCTGCTCAGCGGCCGATGACCCTGGGTATTCCTGCAGATGAAAGCAGGAGTTGCTGGCCGTTGTCCTTACTGACAAGGGAGGGAACGCGTGGTTAGCACAGTTATACCTGAGGATTTCAACTGTCTTCTGGCTAATTGGGTGCGTGCACAGACTCCTAGTGCAAGGGCTTCCCACGGATGAAGGAATAATTTGCTTTTTTCATTACACCACCTCTCAGTGAGCTCCCAGTGAGAAAGGAAAGCAAGGGGATAATGCCGTGCGGAACCAGCCCAGCTCGGAGGTTAAGGACCCCCTCACCAGCCATTAGCACAAGGATGGCTATAACTCCTCCTTCGCCTCTGCATACGGCCTGGCCCCCTGGCAGGGTGCTGGGAGCAGCCCTCGGGAATAAGGAGCCTGTCCTGACAAACAGTGCTTACACCTGCAGCACAACAGGATGGCGGTGATCGATTCTGCACACCCCATCCTGAAGCACGGTGTCAGTGCAAGCAGCTGCCTTACACCTGGTATACACCTCGGAGGTGGCTCCGCCGGCGCGATCAGCTGCAGGCACCTTCGTTAGGTTGTCATAGAATGTGGGATCGGTGACGGGACAGCTGTGTGAACGGCCCTTGGGCCTCTGTTATCTCCCTGGTTCCCCTCTTTCCAGGCCTTCGTTGGCTTACGCTCCCGGGGCCCTGGGGCGATCCTGCGGCTGTTCACTTCACATACGTTCTCACTAAAAGTCAATGAAAGTTCGCTCTACACAACAGCAGAGTGTGAAAACATGATTTCAACTGGTTGTTATTAATTATTTAAATATGGCAATGTTATTGGTATAGATTAGGCTTTGAGTTTTATCAGAAGAGCATAGCCTATGTCCTGTGACGAGATTAGATGTCCAGTCTGTCTTTGCATAACGCGTGCTGCCTGGGGAAAATAAGGACGGATGTCTCAAAGCTGATGGCCAAGTATTGGCTGCTGGGCTGGGGGTGGGAGCACAAGGAACTCTTAGGAGTGGGTGTGGAGGTAGGGAGCTGTTGCAAGCTGGGTTCAAAGCAGAAGCCTGTTTGGTTAAAGTTTGTGGTTAAAGTTTTAGGCGGTGTCAGTGGATGCTTTCTTCACTACTCTGCTCAAGAACAAGGCAGTGCCTGACCATCCCTCGACTCCTTTGTCATCTCGTGGTATCCCGCTCCTCTCTCTCCCCGGCTTTCCAGCGAGTACATCATCTCCTCTTCCTCCTCTTTCAGTTCTCCTGGCGCTTTCCCTGACCACGGCGGGTTCCTCATCTCTACAGCGCGCCCCAGCCCTCTTGGCAGAGATGCAGGACCCTGTGTCCCCTGCCTGGCGCTCGCTGGCCTGTTGTACCGGGTTCTTTTAATTCAAGGACAGCGTCATGTTTAAATAATGTTGTGACACATCTGAATGCAGCTCAGTGGGGTTGCTCGTACAAGCATAACTCTGCTACTTGCTGGTCCTCCCCCTCTCCTAATGTAAATGAAAGCAGACTGTCAGGCTACATTTTAAATTCCATGGCTAGGACTGGCTGTTGGACCTTTGTAACTGTGAGAAATAATTATATTGCTTTTAATGGTTTTATAGCCCCTCTCTCCTGGAGACCTATGGCTGCTGCCAAGCTTCCAAACAGCTGGATTTGGCGAGCTGAGGGGTCAGAGCCAGCCCGAGCAGGCAGTAGCTGGGGAGCCCGCTCAGGTGGCGGCCCGCAGCTGCCGCTCCGCTCCAACAATCGGCCACGCTGGGGACTCGACCTCAGAGCCAAGGCTTAGAGAGATCGATGGTGCAAAAACTGAGCTGCTCCTGCAGCTGCTCCTCCAGCCCACCCAGGGCGCAGGGCAAGCACGGAGAGGCCGTGCCGATTGCTGCATGGCAAACAAAACGCCTGATCGGCGCTCTGCTGTGCTGCAGTTAGGAAGGCAGCAAGGACCAGGAGAGGGATGCTTTCCTCTAGGGTCAGGCCTGAAATAGGTTAAGGAGTTTATGGGAGCTGAGCTGGCAGTTAAGGTGGAGAGGATTATTCTCAGCTGAGTTTGCTCTCTGTACCGTTGCAGAAGAGAAAGCTGCAGATCTTTAGCTCGCACATCTGCTTCTTCCTTAGCAGGATCAATCTGAAAGATTGCACAGATGCACTTTTATTAAGAGCATTCACTATTTCTGGCCCTGCTTGGGCCCCAGAGGCCCAGCCCAGAGGGCACCGTGGTACCACAAGGCAGTGCAGGAGCAGTGCCCAGCAATCAGCGCCTCTTCTTCGCGGCAGCCTGTGTGCTCGTTCCTGCCCCCGGGGGGCTTATCCTCGCCCCAGGGGCTGGCGGCGGGCCCGGAGCTGCGCGTGTGAAGCGGGCTGGGGTCCCTTTTCAGGGTCCGTGTACTCACCGAGCAGCTGGGCACTCAGCGTGGAGCTCTTATGGGTCTGATGCTCACGAGCGTCATCCGAATGCAGAGAGGAGGTGAAAGATGAGAGCAGAGGTACCACCTGAGGCTTCCCCTTCTCCTCTCCTGCTCTCAGACTAACTTGCCTGACGAGGCAGTAAACCTTTACAGGAGCACAGCAGCGAGGCAAGCATTCGTGGAGGAGAACTGCAGAGCCCCAGCCAGGAGCCTATGGGTTAACGCACCAGCTACAGGGCTTGAGTCACCCCAGGCTGCAGGACAGCCCAGCATAGAGCAGCCTTCAGACGAAACAAAGTACCTTCTGCCTAGCTGGGGCGCAGATACAAGATCCCACGGCGTTTCTTGTGAGGCCTGGAGGAGACTGCCAGTGCTGAGGCTGAACTCTCTCTGCCAACAAACAAAACTGTCTTTAAACTCCGAGGCTGTGTGTGAGCTATTGTTGGGGACATAATGGCTTCTCTGTTTCCCTGCACAGTCTTTGCTCCGCAAACACGCCACTGGTCTCTTTTAAAAGTAGTTGAGTGTAAATCAAGTTCTAGAACCTGGAAAGAGGTTTCACCCATTTACCTTTTACTGCCCTCGGTTGACACATGTTTACAGAACAGCACATGGAGTAGATTTACACCCTGGTTTGAGCTGCTTTACTTGGAGATGGACATCTTTAGTGCTCAGACCGAGACTCACAGACGCAGGGCTTGGATGGCGAATGTGCACCTCCTAATTTAAATACCAGGCGCGGGGGTGAGGTGGAGGGGGCAGTGCTTGCTAACCTCTTCCCTCTGAGAAAGGCTTTGGTTTGGCTGGCCTGGCCTCCTCTAGTTAGCTCAGTGCTGGCACGCTCACTGCTCCCTAATCCTGCGTGCGCTGCTGCTGCAAGGCACCAACTGCTGGAGTTTGCTCTGCTTTGGGCTGTTGAGCATCCACAGAGGGTGGGCTGGTGGATCCGCTCTTCACCCACAGTGCCACGGGCTGCCTTGTCTCTGAGGACGGCAGCTGCCTCGGTAAGGTGAAGGGCATCTTGGCTATTGTGCAAGTACAGTAGTCACGGTCAAAACCCAAAGCTGCACTGCGCAGGGGGAAGTTGGTCCCTGAAGGCAATATGATAAATTTAGGCCTTTTTTGCTGGAACAGTCCTGTAATGGGAAAGGACGTGGGCCAAAGAGGAGCTGTTCAAGCTGTGTTTCATGAACTGTCAGTCCCAACAAGGTGGCAGTGACTCTCCATCCCCTCAATAGCTCTCGATATTCTCTTGATATTTTGCTTAACTTCAGAACAGGACATCACCCTGTCGTAACTGTCAAGGCCAGAACTGGGCTCACGCCTCCCCTGGCCACTCCTTCCCAAACCGCCCGTCCACGGGCAGAGCTGTCGGCTGCTGGGGGGTAGAGGGGGAAACAGTGGATGTGAAAGAAGGTAGATGAAAAGACTGAAGACTGCTCTTGTGCCTGATCATCCGCTCCCTCATTCCCACGTGCCCCCGAAGCAGCAAGGCTGACAATCCTGTCTCTTCCCGCAGGAAGATGAAGCAGCGCTATGTGGTGGCCGGCGTCCTGACGGCAGCCCTGCTGGGGCTCGTCTTGTTCCTGGGACTCTTCTTCGGGCTGCGCTCTGACGCAAGGGACAGACACACTTATAAGAGGGCGGCTGTGGCTACAGACGCGGGGCAGTGCTCGATAATTGGAAGGTACCCGCTAATTGTGCTGTGACTCTTGTTAGCTCTGACAGCTCTTGCGCAAGGCAGAACTGTTGTTTGCTGGATGTCCAAGTGAAGCCTGGCAGTTGCCCAGCACAGATAATCTCTGATCTCCCTGTAGAAAGGGGAGGCCATAATAAAACCTGGGCTTTTACCATGCCTGGCCAATGTTACTGCAGTTGCTCAAAGACAACATAGCAGGCAAAGATTCCCCAGATGCACAAACAATGGGAACGAGAGATGCTTTTCAAGCTCCTTTTAAAAACCATTTATCAAGCTGTCCTCCAGTTCTAGATGCAAGTGCTGCAGATTTCAGGCGCCTCAGAGAGCTGTCATTTCTCCTGTGTAATGAACGTGTCTGGGATGCCTGTCCCCAAATGTACTTTGACACATTTTGGTGTTTTCAAGCTAGTTTGGATGTGTCTCTAATGAGGGCTGATCTGCACCTAGGCCATTAGGATGTATTCTCTAAGGTGACAGAAGCTCAAAACTTCCTGGTCCTGAGGAACCTATAGACTGGGTGTGGACAAACGTGCATTAGGGAATCTGTCACAGCTGCTCTGACGAGATGACTCCGCTGCTCGCAGGTAGCTGAGACACTGTAACATGTCACCATACGATGCCTTCTCTTCTGCTGCACAGGGACATCCTTCAGCAAGGTGGATCAGCAGTGGATGCTGCGATTGCAGCTCTGCTTTGTGTAGGACTCATGAATGCTCACAGCATGGGCATTGGAGGGGGCCTCTTCTTTACCATCTACAGCAGCACAGGTAAGGGACAGGGCCGTACACGTCTGGAACAGTTTGAGAACCGTTTATCTAAAGCAGGTGATTTATCCTACCTGAGGGAAGGTAAAAGACTGACTCTCACAGCCTCTGGGGGAACACGCTGTCCTCAAAATAATTGCCAAGAGACTGGCTCACGTTGATCAGACTTCTTCAGCAGAGACCGTGCCTGTGTGTTGAGTCCAGAGCTAAACACCATCTTCCTTGCTCTGTCATTAAAGGAAAAGTGGAAATCATTAATGCAAGAGAGGTGGCTCCAAAAAGAGCATCGGAGGACATGTTTGGGAACGACACACAGCTCTCTCTGAAAGGTACGGCAAAGGCTGTTTCACTGCTCGGGGGGGACCGCATAGCTCCACATTAGCTGCTACTGACATGTCTGAATTAAGAACATTTCTTATGGTCAGGTTCTTGCATATCTACAGGATTTCTCCCCTAGAAACATCCTCTACTGCACACAATCTGCAGACTCTATCTGACGAGGAAGCTAAAAATAATGTCCTTCAAACTAGTCAGTCACCTCAGCACTTTCTGCTTTTCACTTCATGAAAATGCAGGTGAATCCAAAGCCCCGAGTATGACCTGTTCCATATCTGCCATCTTTCCTTTCCACCTCTTTGAACACATCTTTGTGGATCAACTTAGTTCTTTTCAGTTCAAGTGTCCTCCCTAAATACCTTTTGTGGTGGCTTCAACTAATGGTTCGGGGGCTCCAGAGAAGAAGAGGTAGTTTCCTTTGGGGGAAGTATTTTCTAATCAAAAATAGAAAGTAATACTGACTAGTGCTCTTCATGGTCACTCCTGTAACCAAGGAGGAACAGCACCTCGGAGGGAGTTTGAGAAGCGTGTTGAACTTGTGGGAGATGCCAGTAAAAACAGGATTGAAGCAAACGGCTGCATCACTGTGCAATGTAGTAATCAATCTATTGCCATTGCAGTTGCAATGCCGCAACCAAGTTTTTGGCTGAAGTATGTAGACAGTCTGTGTCCTCTTACCGTAGCGTGTTCTCTGAAGAAGCGGAAACTGCAGGCAGCTATGATAGCGGCTGCATTCTAAGCAGCTTTCTCTGGTACAGAGCCAACTGAGGGGAAATGGCCCAAAAACTTGAGTTACCAGCAAGAGGACAGAGGTGTTTCAACAGTCCAGAATATGTAGGCGTACATGTCAGACAGAATAATTCTGTTAGCACCGTATGCACAAGCCGAGCTGGTCGTAGTATACGTAATCCCTGCCTAAAAACAGGGCTGACAGAGAAGCCTGCTCTACCTCCTACTCCATTAATCACTTTCTTTTCTTGCTGTGGAAGACTAACGCATTCCTTATCTGCTCCAGGAGGACTGTCCATTGCTGTTCCTGGAGAAATCCGTGGGTATGAACTGGCTCACAAACGTCATGGCAAACTGGCATGGAAAGACCTGTTTCTGCCCAGCATCAAGTTGGCAAGAGATGGATTCCCTATTGGGAAAGGCCTTGCAGCAGCCATCAAATCAAGAGAGCAGTCAATTGAAAGCAATCCCTCACTGTGGTAGGTAGAGCAGTTGCTGTTCCGTGCAGAGAAATTTGGGGTAACTGCATCCTAGCTGAAAAGTCTGTATGTCTGTGTGGCGTAGTGTCGGTGAGGAGCGTGCCTCCCCTCCAGTGACTGTACTCGCTGTACCTGCCGATGGTATTCCGGCTGCCTGAAGGTGCTAAATCATGTGGCCAATTTTAGGAACGTTCCGTCCTGACCTTAAAGGGGAGATAAATTCTGCTCTTAAAGTCCATTTGTCTGAGCAAAGGTGGAATTAGAGTACGTGCTGGGATAAATCTGTCAGATGGCAATGTATTTTCTGAATCCCCAGCTTTTCCTCATGCCGTAAGTGCCCTAAATTAATCTTACCTGCATTTGGGGCAATTGCAAAGTCTCCTTGAACATCTCATCTGCTGTCAGGCAGTGGGAATTTGGGTCGTCTCTTACTCTGCAGCCAGCCTTCCTCCAGCAATGCCTCTGGCCATCCACTCCTGGCAATGACCACGAACACAAAGGGTTTTAAATGCTCCTCCACTTCCTCTTCCAGTCAAACCCTTGGCGTCTATGTCAAGCCTTACTGGAGATCACGCTTAATCCTCTCTTTTCCTTAAAATCTCTGCCAGCTGCAGGTTGGTTTCCAATCCAGTTGGGGTGTAGAGCCTGGGCCTATCTCCTGTACTTCATCTGGCAGGTCCACAGCAGCACGTTCATGATCCATGATGAGGGAGCTAGAGAGGAAACTGTCTACCTCAAAGTGCTCTGACAAACAGGGATCGAAACGCATTCTCCTGGACTCACTGGAAGCTTTGAGCCTCATAGCTTCACAGTCTGTGGTCTGAACAGAACTGCTTGAGTTCAAGGACTATGGCCTCTCCTGGGCATCTTGAGGCGGTTGTTGGCCCCTTGGGCAGGTAGGGAGGGTGGCCTGCCTTGGTGAAAAAGATCGACACTCCCCCCTGCAGGCTTCACTGCGCAAATCCTGAGGAATGTGGAACCCCAGGTCAGAAACCACTGTTCACTTTTATGTCCCAGTGCAAGATATCAGGGCCCCTGGGGCATGGCTCAGGGGGTTTCTCTTCTCTCCAAGAAGCCTCTAGCGTGAACACTCAAATACTGTGTCAGCTGGTACACGTAGTTTTGAACTTGTCTCTCAGATCTGATCTTCTCAATCTCCTTTCTCTGTTAGCGAAGTGTTCTGCAGAGGAGGGAAAATTCTGCACGAAGGCGATATCGTCAAGATGCCTAAACTAGCCAACACATACGAGACTATAGCCAGTGAAGGAGCAGATGCCTTTTACACAGGAAGCCTGGCAAAACAGATCATCGATGACATCCGCAGCGTAGGTGAGAAACAGGACATCTGTCCAAAACAGCGTGAGTGGCCTGACTGCTGCGGCTCAGCATCCAGGGAGGAGCCAGTGACCGGCAGAAGCCTTGGAAGCGGGTCAAGCCTGCTGCCTGAAATGCCACCTCTGAGACCCGTGGCAACAGGACACCCGAGAGACGCCATGAGCGCTTTAACGGATGCATTTGAAACCCCGTCAGAAATGGACAGCATATACTGTGCATTTCTGTACCATATAGTCTATGCGTTTCTGGATATAGCTTAGTAGATACATGCTGTTTACAGAGCCTGAATCTGGCAAGTTTCTGCCCAAAACATTACGTACCTGGTCCTGTAAACTCTGAGCTTGTTTCATCTCTCGAGGCCGCTAGGTGGTGGTAGTATCCCAGCCTGACTAGCTAGCACTGGCGAGCTCCGGTCAACCTCACGTAACTCATTTACTGGCTTTATTGGTGATGGTTAATTACTGCCTTCCCCCTTCTGATAAGAAAGGCAATGGAACCTACAAATGTTCCTGCTTGTGGGGTAGCACGAAGCATCCGCACCCAAAAGCTGCATCCTCCTCCTGTAAACAGGACTCTTAATGACGTTTTGGTACCGACACTGCTGGTGTCCTTCGTAAAAAAAGGCGGATCACCAGATTTTTGGCTGCCGTAAATCAGCCCAGCTTCAAGCTTAGGCTATCTGAGCCTCAGCTGGATCTATCAAGGAACAAATTCGTCTCCTGTGCATCCATCTTTGGTTTCTTTACCTTGCAACTTTTTGGGTTTGTCTGTGTTCCCTCCTGTCCTTGCTCTGACGCATGGTGATGGCGTATTACCCCCTCTTCCCACCGGAGATCACATGAACCCACATCTGTAGTTTCCTTCTCTTTTCCAGGGGGCATCGTCACACTGGATGACCTGCGGGACTACAATGCAACAGTGATCGAAGACCCCATACAGATCACGCTTGGGGAGTTTACCCTCTACACGCCGAGTGCCCCCCTCAGCGGCCCAGTGCTAGCCCTCATCTTCAACATACTGAAAGGTGAGAGTGCCACTGAGCGCTGCCTGGCGGGCAGCGGGAGCCGGGAGAGTTCCAAAGGCGACGTCTTTTTTGTTTTGGGAGCTGGGCCTCCCTTGACAGCCCTCCAGCAGGTGGGAAGTCTGAGACCCTGGGAGGGATCAGAGATGCGGAAACATTCCTCTTCTGCTGTAAACTCAGGGATGTCGCCTTCCTACTTGAAATACAGGTGCGAGAGGGAAAATATGCTCCTGATTGGGGCGCTTCCCGGGTACATGCGTGGGTGGAAACTAACTTGTACTTGAGGCTTCTTTGGAAAACATCTGTGCAAGTACAAATCCTGCTGATGACTCCCACAGTGCTCAGGACTACCAGAGCCCCAGCGTTCTCCATGAGGAGATTAGGACTGCATCTCTGTAGAGACTGGGCTTCAAGATTATACCGTTTGACACAGGTTTATTAGCAGTCCATTGGCCGCGTACTTTCCTTCGTGTTCACAATCCTTTGTCTTCTGTTGCCAGGATATAATTTCTCTGCTGACAGCGTCAAAACCATGGAGGAGAAAGGTCTGACTTACCACCGCATTGTGGAGGCCTTTCGCTTCGCCTATGCCAAGAGGACTTTACTGGGAGATCCAAACTTTGTCAACATCACAGAGGTACCTGGCAAAAGCCTTTTCTTTCTGCAGCACCGAGGCTGACTGGAACGTGGCTTAAAGTTTTTGGGGGACTAAACTGTGTCAGGGATGCTCTGTGCCACCCGCTATTGACAGGCACTGAAATATCTCTGAACCAAAACGTGAAGTCCTATGTGACTCGTGGCTGAGCTGTGAGGGGTATAAATGGAGGAAACTCTCCTGCTGTAAGGAAAAGCAAAATCTTCAATTCACCAGGGGTGTTTGAGTATATTTAGGGCTAACCATCCCTGTTTTCATAATGTTTGAAGCCTTATTCACTAGATGACATTCCCAGCATCCTTGTGGCTCTCTAACCACAGTCCTGCCTGTAGTAAATGGACCAGTGGATGGGAAGGGGTGAGGCAGGAACCCTGCTTTTCCCAACTCCACACTTTGTGCTTTTGCTTCTGCGACTCTCCAAAAGCAGCCGGATCTGAGCCCAGCCCAGCTCGATGGACACAAATTTGCAGCTTCCAGGGCAATGGTCAGAGCTTGCCTTGGTCTAGTCCTCTCAACCCGACCATCTCTGAAGCAAGACTAACACTGCTTCCCTACACCTTACAGCAGTGTTGAGGACAGCTTTCCATAGCTCTACAGTAATGGATGCTGATTAACTCCCTGCACAAAGGGGTGCGTTGTAACAGCTGCTTCTGTGACCACTTAAAACGCTCTTTGGTACACTGTCCATCTTTCAAGGAGGAAAGCCCCTGCTGGAAAACTATAGCCTCGCTGCTGGGATTTGCCACTCTTCTGTGGTCTGAAGCATTGGATATCAGCCTCATGTCTCTTAAACTTAATCTGCTGAGTAACTGCCTTGGATTTCTCTGACAGGCGATCAGAAACATGACGTCCGAGTTCTTTGCAGATGGTCTCCGGAGGAAAATCACAGACAACACCTCCCATCCAGTTGACTACTATGAGCCAGTATATTACACTGGAGATAATGCCGGTACATCCCACCTCTCCATTGTGGCTGATGATGGCAGCGCTGTGTCCGCCACCAGCACCATCAACCAATAGTATGAGCTCAGACATTACTTCCACCTAGGCCTTTGCCATCTTCGTAGCGGTGGTTCTGTGGTTGGTATAAAACATCACTGAACTGTTGTCTCCCTAGCGGGGTAGCGATGGGCAGCACTGTTAATGGCCATTTCTGCTGAGCTTGCAGGTCAGTTCTTAACTCTGAGGCCTGTGTGGTTGGGTCAGAGGACAAGATGTGTCCTCTCATGTTGGGTTCACCCACCAAGAAAACATGCACTGCATCTGGATCTTCTCATAAGCCGTGGTATCGCTGCTGGCTCTGATTTCCCAGGCATCTGGAAGGAATTTGAGCTAATACAGCTGGCCTGGAAGTGCAGTGTTTGGCTTTGAGTGCTGTCAGCAAGAGCTGTGTTCTGCATGTATGGCCTGAAGCTGGGGGGTGAAGGTTCTTTTTCTCCATAGAAAACGTCTCCAGCTTGACGCATCTGAGCAAACCCCAGTCGTTCCCAAATGTGCCAGCCTTTGAGCTCTGCTGCCTCTGAATGGAGTGCAGTGCTGCCCAGCTGGGAGGGGAATTAGTTGCATTTAGCTGCTGTGCTGTTTCTCCCCTCGGGGTCCTTGCAGGGGAGCTACGCAGCCCGCCTCTCGGCTGCCTTTCCTCTTTGTGTAGCTGTGCACGCAGGTATAAGCTGCCTCCTTCCCCCAGGGGTGCCAGAATGCCCGCTGGCAGGAGGGTGTGGAGAGTTACTCCAACCAAATCCCAGTTTGACGTTGCAGTAATTCACCTGAAGCTCTTCCTGGATTTGCTCTGGTTTTGACATGTCTGCGCCAACTTGTTTTGTCTAGCTTTGGCTCTGATGTACGATCCAACGTGAGTGGAATCATATTTAATGATGAGATGGATGACTTCAGCTCACCTTACATAATCAATGGATTTGGGATCCCTCCTTCTCCAGCAAATTTCATAGCACCAGGTAGCTGTAAACTACCTTCCCGACTCAGTCTTTTGGCTGTATCTCGCAGACTAACGCTGTGGCGTCCGCAGGGTTGGCGGCAGCATGCCCGCGATCAGGCACAGATCTGGGGCCTTCTGCAGAGGACAGGGATGAAAGCGAGTCACCTGGCATCCCTGTCGCAAGCACACGGCCGGCCGCCCCGGTGCACCCCGGAGGAGGAGAGGCTGTCTAAAGAAACACTCTTGTGTGTGCCTCCTTCCCACAACCAGAAATCCTTTCCCAGGGAGCTCAGTACATGTCAAATGAAATGACTTTGGGCTGCAAAAGATGTCTTTGAACTGATTTAAGAGGGAGGCAGCAGCAGGAGCCGACTGCAAAGCGTTAGACGGCACTGTCCTGCCTTCTCCCTGTGCTGCCTTGGCAGCTGCAGGGCAGCTTGGGATGGATCCAGTTCGCGTACCCAGCCCAAGCGCCCTGCCTGCTCCACCGCTGCCTCCCGCAGAGCCATCGCATCGCTGCGAAAGCAGGCTGGGATTCTGCTGCCCTCCTGATCCCCACACTGCGGAGAGGGACGGGGACGTGAAAGGACAGGAAGGGAAGCCCCGCGGCGTACGGGAGGCAGCTGCATCGCAGCCAGCCCCCTCTGGGACAGGGCTGCGGAGGAAGGCATCTTCAGCCGCTGCGGGAAGGACCAGGGTTAAGCTTTGCACTGCAGGAGCAAGGAGGAGATGGGGGCAGGGGATCGTGGGATCCCCAAGGGCTGAACAAGACACGTGAGCCGAGTCAGGAAGGTGGCTACTGAGGCTCTGGGTTTAGGCACGGAGCAGGAGCTGGCAGTTTGTAAGCTGCAGGTCGAAGGCTGAGCCTTTGTTGCATCTGTGTCCCCAACAGGTAAACAGCCGATGTCCTCTATGTGCCCCTCCATCTTGGTGGATAAAATGAAAAAGGTCAGGATGGTGGTTGGTGCTTCTGGAGGAACAAAAATAACTACGGCGACGGCACTGGTATGTGATGATATGGGCAAACTGGGGACGAGGCTGAGGCAAAACAAGGTGGGGGAGAGGCAGTGTTCGGGGTAAGGGGCTCGAGTCTCCACCTGTGACGTGACCATGGCTGTGGGTCCCTGCTGCGGGCCGGGGGCCTGAAAGGGAGGTTCCTGCCTGGCCTTCTGAAGGCCAGACCTCCCACCCAACTCCTGCCAGAGCTACAAAGGGCCTCTTAAATGACTTCCTTCAGCGACTCCAGGACTTTTCCTTTGGCAAGTTGTTCTTACCACTTGCGGAAGATTTGTGACTTCAGTTTAGCTTTGACTTCTGCTCTCTGGATCTCCATGAACTAGTCTCTTTATCTAGTTTAGAGCCATTCCCATCCAACATCCTAAACTTTCATCCAAAAGTCACCCAGAGAAGCTGAATAAGCACTTGGGGCAGGCACGGCGTCAGGCCACCTGGCAGGCGGGGTCGCTGCGAGCGGACGCGGCAGCCACTCCGATGCCCAGCTAGACCAAAGGGGAGCGCAGCAGGAAGCCGCCTCCTGCGCCAGCAGGCGCAGCAGGTCGGAGCACCGGGCTGGATCTTGCTTTCTGGCTGCGGTAGAGGAGAAGTCTCCGTAAAAACTGCTATGAGCAGCTTTCTAAGCCTTGATCCTGAGGCTATTTTCAGTTGCCAGCAGCTCCAACCTGCAATTTGAGCATGTAGAGATGACCCAGGTTTAAGGAAAGCGGTTGCACAGTAGCGGAAAGCTGTAGCGGTATGTTGTGTCTAAGCCAGCGCTAGCTTAATCATAGCCGCATAAATCCAGCTACAATAGCTTGAGGATCTGATCCTTTTACTATGTTAATTTTAGTAACTGATGGTCTGTGTGTGTGGGAATCCTCCTAAGCACATACGAGCGGACTTGCTGCAACGTACCTGTGTTTCGCTTAGCCAAGAGAGGGACTGCTGAAAGCAGCAGAACCAGAAGTTACACCTTGTATGTGCTCTGGTGAGCATCCTTCAGGCATCTCTGCCTATGCAGAGACAAGGGTCAGGCCTCTTTGAAGATAAGTAACTAATGTTAAGGCTTTTTGCTTCTCACAGACAATCATCAATTCCATCTGGTTTGGCTATGATGTGAAGAAAGCAGTGGAAGAGCCCAGAATTCACGATCAGCTGTTTCCCAATATCACGGAGCTCGAGCAGCAAATAGAGGAGGTTTGTCTAGCTAGGGCCTGGGGTGTGCGTGAACTTCTTGTATGGCGCTGGGAAGGCACGCACTTGTGGAAAATCATGAAGCTTTGCCAAATGTTCCTAGGTGAGCAGTATTAAAGCTGGCACAGGTCAAGTACTGGCTCACAATAAGCTGGTCAGAGCGTACCTTTAGCCTCAGTCACACGGGGTTGAAGCCTGGTGCGTTCAAGTGTGACCTACATCTGAAACAGAGGGTATGTATCTTCTTGCAATGTTGTTTGACTTAAAGGACTTGCAAAATAGCAAACCACATCAGGGCCTGAACCATTCAGCAGTCTAAATACAGTGACCCTCGGGAAAATTGTCCTATTGTGCAACCTCCCGATGAAGCACTGGCACAGAGCTAGCGCGGGAGGACGCACAGAGGGACCCGAGAACAAACTTGAGCGTATTTTCACACTAAAGGTCTCTGTGCAGCGCTGTCAGTCTGAGCGCTGATGGCTGGATCTGCCTCGCTCTGCATACCACCCGCCTGAGCTGGCAGCTTCATTCACCCCGAGGAATTACACGTGCCAGAGGCCCAAGACAGCTGCAGTCCTTGTGTGTATCTCATCCTATGACTTTATATTAGGGAAAACATTCCTACATAAGGCAGTTTTCTTCATCAAACTATGCAGAAGGTCCTCCTTTAATAAGCTGCTGATTAAGGTAACAGCTGAGATGCCTGCCTGCACGGGGAGGATGCCCTGCTCTCTGCAACTCCTGTGTTTTCCCCCATTCCCAAACAGGATCCATCCGTTCTGGCTGTTGGTATATGAATAGCTGAGGCAGAATGCTCCGTGACCAGGAATAGTATTGGTAGCCCACACTGAGCACCACAAATGCCACATCTTCTCAATTCCACCTCTTCAAAAGCAGGGCTTCCCGGAAAGCACAGGGAAGAGGAGGAACAGCATGTAGTTTTAGACCTACTTAGTACAGGCACTGAATGCTGGGGTAGGCGTGGAGGATGCGGGTTGCAGACTACGGCACGGGTGCAGTTGCTCTCTCCAGTTGTCCTCATTCACTTCTGCATTCCAGGGTATAGAAGAACAACTAAAGAAGAGAAAACATGACACCACGCGGGTCAGCGGCGGCGCGGTTGTGCAAGCCATTCTCCGAACAGATGAAGGATGGGCTGCAGCCTCCGATTCCCGGAAAGGTGGCTTCCCTGCAGGCTACTGACATGGCTCGGCTCCTTTTTTCAGTGGTCTAGTGACACTGAGGTGTGTTTGGGGGGAAGATCCTTTAGGTCTGCAACTCAGGGACTTCTCACAGGAAAGAGAACAAATTTAGCTGTGGTTCTGTTGCCAGGGCTGGGACAGTTCTCTACAGCCGTGACCGAAGTGCCTCATGCCACAGCACTCTGCTAAGACAGGCATGTCTCCCAGGACGTGCAGTACTTACTTGAAGCGTCTGTTCTGCCTTGAAGAGTTTGTTCCCTGCCTCCTCTCCATCCCATGAAGACAGATTGGGTACCCAGTTTCTGAAGACGGTCCAGCTCGCTCAGGCTGCGGGGAGTGTTTCCCTGCACAGCGTCAGCTACCGGGAATGTCCCCGTCAGCGCTAGAGAAGAGA